TGCTAGGCCCATAGGTTCTTGGCAAAAGTCATAGAGTGATTGGGCAGACCGGGGTTCATGCTCATGACTTATAAGTGTATATTCTTTAGCAGGTTGTGTGATGTCTTTTGTCAAACCTGTTTTCTTCTCTGTGAAATAGTCACAGAGTGTAGCTCAGAAGGTTGCCTTAAAGATGGAGGAGGGTAATATGTGAATAGATTCTGGAACATGGTAATGTCCACAATAAACACCTAGTTCACTTTGCAGTATCCTTCCCTGCAACATCTAACTTCCTAACTCCCAGATATCTCTAGTCCTTGGGATGACCAAATTCTTCAGTAGGGCCAAATAGATTCGTATCTTTTCTCTCCTTGCCCCAATGTGACCTTGCCTGTCTCATTTCATAAATGTTTTGAGCTCTCCATATTCATTCTTCAGGTATATCTGATTCAACCATCCAGAGCTTTGTTTACAGAAATTAATGTGTCCACCATAGATGATAATGGTTTGTTTGTTTGTTTTACTGATTTGGTTTTTAGTATTTTTGAATTAAGGTCTCATGCAGACTAGGCTGGCCACTGTAGCTGAGGATGACCTTGAACTCTTGATCTTCCTGTCTTCTTGTCCCAACTCCTGGGATTACACGTGTGTGTCACCACCTCTAGCAACAGTTGTCTTTTAACTGGGACCTTCAGTGGTACAACAAAACAGAGTAAAAGCACTTCAGTCCTCCCATCTGCCTGTGGTTCTCCCATTGTCTAAGGATAATGCCCTTGCATCCCAATTATAGTCAGCAATGGCATCACCCTGGAATAGGTCTGAATGTCAGAGCTGACTACGGACCTGCTGCCTCAGAATAATTTAGTAATACCCCCACATGACCCATGTGCACATTAAAATTGGAGCATCACTACACAGTAAGAAGCAGCTAGCTGAAATGAGAGGTGAGGGCACCTTTACAAGGGGAAAGAGTTTTACACCCAGAGGAGCTATTTCAGACCTCTGGAGATGGGGCTCCCGTTACTGCCTCCTGGAGTCCATGGCATCTCTTAGGTACCCAGCTGCTTGCCTGCTGTGCTGGGTCTTTGGAGTTTCCAGGAGAGTCAGGCTCCAGTTACTGGAATCAGAGGGCTAATTGGCGCCACATGGCTCCAAATCCTGCCAGTTTCAAGGAGAATGACAAGACTCCCCAAGGAGCCAACCAAATGTAAAGAAAAGAGAGCCAAAGGCAAGGAGGGATGGAGAACTAAAAACCAATGCCTGGAAATGTAACTGTTACATTTTAGTCTCCTGCCCCAAAGCACAAAAAGATAGAGCATTAGCTCAGAACTATTTCACTGCCCTGTCACTTCATCTGTCTTTAGCCTCATCCTGCCTAGCAACAGTTGTTAACTTGAACTCCAGCTCCTGGTTTCTCTTTGGCCAGTGATGGAGGTCAGGCTGGTCCACAGAGGAACCAAAGCATTCAAATGGAGTCAGATTGTCTGATAGTTTGGGCCAGGAGATGGGCTGCCCAGCTAACAAAGGAGTAGAGTACAGAGCTGTCTCTTAAAAAAAAAAAAAAAAAGAAAGAAAAGAAAGGGTGTGGGAAGGCCCCAAAGCTGTGTGACTTTAAGTAAAGGTTCATTTTTGGCTCCCTTTCTCTGTTCCTCCAGCCACGGTGAATAATGCTACCCGTAATATTGTCACTTCTACATTCGTATGATATATTTAACCTTCGGACTGCTTCTCTTCTATAACCATGATCTCATCTCATTCTTCCAACACCACAAAGGGACCAGGATTAGAGACCTGTTAATTATAATGTGTGCTGAGCATCCAAGCCTGGCCAGGACATGACATGTTACTATTCACTGGCCAGCTTGAAGTAGAAATTCTGAGTGGTCGAGGGTCCAGGACTCTAACAGTATGTAGCTGATGCTGCTGGGATTTTGGGGTTTGCCAAGGACATTTGGCTCCAGTTGGATCATGAATGTGCTCAGCCTCTGTGGGTGTCTTCTTGAGGGCTAGGGGAGGAGCAATCACCTCTGCCTCTTTGGCAGGACAGACAGCAGCTGTGAGGAGATAATGGATGTGAGCATTCCTTTTCTCTAATGATGTAATAGGTGTCTATAGGCAAAGAAGCACATGGACCAAAAAGGTTGTTATTATGAGGCAGAAGGAAAAGGCTAGAACTTTTCCATGAATCACTGAATGAAGAGGGCTACCCTGGTATACAATGAACAGATACTTCAGAGGCATTATGTAGAAAAAGGGACGGAATGAAGGTGTTTGATGCTTGGGGGCAAACAACAGAAGAAAATAGCAAATGCCAGAAGTAAAAGCAATGGGGGACTCGTGAACTTTGGCTCTTTCATAATTTGTTAAGGGTTACCGGGTTTAGAGGGACCAGAAGCCAAATGTCTTTCAAAGTCAAATTGCCTAGTTTCCCCAGGCGGTCACGTGGCCCTTGGATCGCTGAGCTCCTCTCATCTATCACTGCTTGCCTTCGGTGTCACTCCTAAGTCTCCAGACACTTAGCAAATTTCAGAGGGACTGGGCTGCAGACATGGAAAGGTGCAGAGCTCATGAGGGAAGGAAAGACCTTCCATTGGAGTATAAAATGGCCTCCTGGGTCTCTTAATAGAGGTTTCTCCCCTGACCCAAGCTGTGTGGGAAGGCCTAGATATTGTGAGGTATAGATGCTTGTACAATTGAGAAGGATCCAGCCAGGGATAACTAGTCCAGCTCAAAAACAAACCTAATGAGGACTAAAATGTGATTTCTGTTATACCCAGAGCCTTTTATGGTGGAGAATCCGCTGTGAGAGAGAACTTCCCATCTCTCCCTACAGTGTATCTTTTCCTGGCCCACCAGAATCATTTCCACACCTGCCATGGCACCTTCTCCAATGTCTCCACCCTTTCCTCTGAATATACAAAGCTGACTTAGTCTCAATCAAAATTCTGAATCAGTAATGGTGGTTCCCCAAGGCCCACTGAAGGCTGAAATGTCCCTAGCTTCATAAAAAAGAAAAGGACAAATCTGCATTGTTAAGTGATTGAGATGGAAGGCTGAGTACAGGACAGTACATGATACCCATGGTATACCTGCAGCCTCTTTGCTCCCTGGGCCAGGAGCTGTGCAGCACAACAGGTTCTCAAGCATCCACCCTGCCCAAATGGGTACCCACATCAGCAACCAGTTTATGGAATCCTGGGAAGAGGGTTCTTATTGTCTTTGAGACTAGGTGGCAGAAACAAAGGCTCAATTGAGTAGCAACTGCAAGGTTGAGGCAAGGTGGTCGCCCAAGACTCCCTTTGAGGCTAAACTTGTACATACCAGAAGGAACCGAAGTCAAAAAAAGCACCTCAGGTAACCCTCAAAGATACCTTGTACCCCCAAAATACCTATTCAGGGCAACAGCCAAACTACATTCCAGCTACTTCATGCCCTTCAGTTAGAAAATGTCCATTTGTCTTACTAGGGGAGGAAGCAGGGAGGGAGCCAGCTTCTAAATTTGCCTTCTTGAGACTTGTCCTATACTAGCATCCCTTTCCACCTCCTTAAGGGATGAAAGACAGTCTCTAGGCCATACTGGCTACAGCTAGAGTACGTGTGGCTGGTCTGGCTTGATGGAGACAGCTGTGGGATCTTCGCCGGATGATCATTTATCTTTCATATAATTACTCCAAATCTCACCTCCCCACCAAAAAATAGTCTAAAGCTCAGCTCTAATTAGTTGGTTCTCGATAAACAACCTAGCTGCTTGAACCCACCTGTCACTGAAGTGTTTGAAATCCTTAGCTAGTCAACAATTGCATCACTCTCATAGTATCAAAGCCTCTCACATCTTTTACAAACCTTGTACTAGTTTGATTAATTAACTCCTGGTCATCTGCTTCAAAAAGTCCTGGCTAGAACTGTAATTCTAGAGACTAGAAATACTGAGGTAAGGAACCTAGACTCATCTGCTATACCTGTAAGCCTGAGGGTATGGGGGAGCAAAATCCAGTTGCTAAGATTCTGAATCCCTTGGGTCTGGCCCTCTCTCTTCCATCTCTGCCTGCTTTGCCCTTCTTCTAGACCATCATTCCTTGTTTTACTACCTCCTTTATCCCTGGAAGCCAGTGTCCCCACAAATTTCACTTTCCTCACAACCTCCCCCTCCCCAAACACACACATAGTGCTTAGGGTTCTTCCTCCCTGGGCCTATCTGCCTGAAATATGTGTCACCCTGGCCATCAGTGTAGAGGCTGTATGCAGCCCTGTGTAACTGCTAAGCTTCAGGAGCTTAAGTAGTAGGCATGTAGAGAAGAACATGGAATGCCCCCAAGATGTGAAGGAAGTATTTTCCTCTTCCCCAGCTTTGACTGAGTTTCGGGTCTGTCAGCAGCCTCAAGAAGATGCTCCCCTTCTGGCCTACAGGAGCCATTCTCCAGCTGTCCCATTAAGTGAAACAAGTTGGCATTATGTACAATTGTGTAAAGTAATGGTCCTGAACATTAGTGCGCTTGTTTATATATGCCACCTAAATAGTTCCTTTTTATATATCACCTAATAGACATTAAAGCTTAAAATTGAACAAGGACTTCGCAAAGATGTTCTTCATTCTGGAATGACTTCACATTTCCTTTCCCACTTATTCGCCTGCTTTTGTGGCCTGTTCCCTGGGGTGTTAGTTTCCTTTAGGGAGTTAATAGCTAATTAAGATAGGTGATACTCGTTCGTTAACTTCAGAACAATATATTTGCATGTAGGCTTCTTCTAGAGTCCCAACATCAGAGAGAATGAGTGTGACTTGCAATTCCCACGTCACCATTTTTTTCTCCTGAAGACAAGTGGCTTCTCCCCCTAGCTCCCTCTTACTCCAGTATGAACTATGAGGTAGTCATCGCTTCTGCTTGTCCCAAAGCATGAAGGAAATTAAGTTGTGGTCTCCCAGGTATCATAGCCAGAACCATAATTGATGTCCCTCCTAGCTGGCTTTGAGGCTTAGTTCCCTTTGCATCTTTTTTTTGCTCCTATCTCCCCTCCCCCAGTCATGCGATGCAGGAAGAGAGCGCAAATGATATGGAATGTGTACAGCTGCCAACAGAGACACTGCGACAAGTGACCATTCAGCGAGACCCTATATATGGCTTTGGCTTCGTGGCCGGCAGTGAGAGGCCTGTGGTGGTTCGATCTGTGAGGCCAGGTAGGTGACCCTCAGAGGGTGCCCCCGCAATCCCTGGCTTTTGTCACCAGTACCTCTGTATCTTCCCAGAGAGCTGCGCTTCTAAGTATATGGCCTTACTAAGTAATTTACCAAGTATGGGTAAAGATTTGTCAGCTAATAACAAACCGTCGAGGTGGCTTGGGACCTGAGACAGAGACTGCAGTTAAAAGAGGACTTGGGGTGAAATCTTCCCTTTGCGCAGAACATGCATCAGAGATACATCATACCTTGGCTGAGAAAGTACCGTTCCATTTAATTTGAGTATTTATAGAATGCCTACTCTAAGGCCAGCAGTGTTGCAGGGAAGAGCAAGACACAGCTCCTGTCCTCAAGAATCTAGGGGGGAGGCAGAGAAATGGCTTAGTGAATAAAAGCACTTGCTGCGTGCCTGATAACCTAAGTTTGATCCCTGGAATCCACATAAATGTGGAAGGAAAGAATCAACTCCACAAAACTATCCTCTGACATCTGTGCACTCATGCATCGTGTCCATACTCACTTCACACACACGCAAGCACACACGCAAAGAACCTGATCTCCAGGCCATGGAGACTATTCATGAGATATATGAGCTAGTGAAGACCATACTGTCAACTGTCAACAGCAGAAGCTCCTATTGAGAAGCATCACCAATGGCCTGTATTTCACTTTGTTGAGTTCTCACCGCCAAGCCAGCAAGGTAGGAGGCACCACTCCCCTTTTACAAATGAGGACACTGAGGCATAGCAGGGTGGGTCAACTAGGAAACTGACGAACAAGAGTTTGCTCAGAGTCTGTCTGAGTTGGTGAGGGGCAAGTTGGGCTTGAAAAGAACTGCATGAGATAGGAAATTGGACAGACCCCAGTCCCTAAATATGAAACTCTGCCATTGTGAATGAAACAGAGCCACCACACTGTTGTGTTCGAATTCTCTGTGCATTGACAGGAAAGGGCTTTATTCCTCACTTGCTAGGCCCGAGGCTTGAGATGTTTACAACAGTTTCTCACTCAGTCAAAAGGAGCAGCAGAATACGAACTGGTCTTGCAGAAATTTGATGAATTTCACTATCCTCAAAGGAAAAGAGAAAAAAAAATCTGTAAGCTCTCTTCAACCAGAGGGCACAAGCAAACAAAATTCAATACAGGAGCTTGTGGATAACCTGAGGCTCCTGAGTCAGTGATACAGTTTGGCAAAAGAGTTCTGTCTTCTGATCAGAAACCAAATTTGTCTTGGGAAGAGGGAATAGGTGAAACTTGATATAAACATAGACCACCAGGAACCCCTACTTTAACTTCAAAGTAAACAGAATTTGAAGACTGGAAAGTAACCCTCCCCCATCCCATTCCTTTCCAAAAGCAGAGGAGCTGAAGGGGTAAAAAGAAAAGTCCTGGGGCTGGAGAGATGGCTCTGTGGTTAAGAGCACTGACTGCTCTCCCAGAGGACCCACATTCAATTCCCAGAATTCCTATGGCAGCTCACAACTGTCTGTAATTCCAGTTCCAGAAGACCTGACATCCATGACAAAACACCAATGCACATAAAATAAAAATAAATAAATTTTTTAAAGGATTTTCAAAAAAGAAAAGAAAAGTGGCATGATAGAGCCACAAAAAAAACTAGGAGCTGACAGGCCCTACTGTGTAAAAGATGCACCTGCTGGATGCAGAGGATATTTGCTCTGATATGAGACCATAAGGAAAGATGAAGTATCCTATAGAGGGTCACTCATGCCTCTGAAGGCCCACACACCATTTGTGCAAAAGGCAAATCAATATCACCAGTGACATGTATAGGCCTAAGGCCCAAGAAGGAAGCTGAGTTCTACGAGGACCTCTTTCACTACAAGCTAGGGAAAGAAGGAAGAAGGAACTAAGTAAAGTAGTCTCTGCCTAAGAGACTGTTATTTTCATTTTGTTGGCTTTTTTATTTGTGTTTTGTTGTTGTTGCTTTTGGTTTTGTTTGTTTGTTTTGTTTTGTTTTTCTTTTAGAGACAAGGCTTTGTGTAGCCCTGGCTAGCCTGATCGCAGATCAGCTATGTAGCCCAGGCTGGCTTTGCCTTAGTCACTGTCCTGCCTCGGGCTCTCTAGTGTTCAGATTATAGGTGTGCAGCACCACACCCATTTTATTTGGTTCTAGGGTGTCAGCCCATGGCCTAGTGTATGCCAAGCAAGCGCTCTACCAGCTGAGCTACATCCTTAGCCAAAGACAGTTGTTTTCGACAGACATAGAAGTAATGGGACAAATGGAAGAAATTGTCCCTTGGAAGCTCCAATAGGTGTCATTCATTCAGTTCTTACCAACAGCAATCAGCTATTTTGTATTCTTTCTTTCGTTCTGTTTTTGAGACAGTATCTTACTCAGGCTAAGTTGATCTTCAAATCACTGTGTAGTTATAACTGACCTTCAAATCCTGATCCTCCTGCCTCCACTTCCCAAGTACAAAGGGTACAGGCATGGGCCACTTTACCTGGCTTCGTTGGCTATTTTAAATATTATACATTCATCATCTCATTTATCTTTCCAAAATTCTCATGATGTATAGGCACTGTCATTTTCTCAGTGAACAGATAAGTGACTGGGAGACATTAGAAGTCTCACTCAAGGTCACATGGTAAATTGCAACTGCAAGATTAGAGCCCAGTTCTTTGCGGCTACAAAGTATATAATTGTCAACCCCATGCCCACAATTCCTGAAATCACTGAGCTGTCATGAGGCATGGCCTAGCAAATGTCATTGCTGTTCCATTGGTGACTCCTGCTGGTTGCGCTGGCTTAGGTGTCCTCTGCACCTGAGTCCCAAGCACTAGCACCATTGAGATACACTCAAGTGACTTTTTATTTTTGCACTTGGTATTGAACTCCATGTATGCTGGGCCATAAAAACCTCACCTCTTCACTGTCTTCACTTTTTTTTTTTTATCTTAACACAGGGTCTTGCTAAGTTTCCCAGACTAGCCTTGAACTTACTTAGCAGCCCCAGCACCCTTGAACTTCAGATCTTCCTGTCTTAGCCTCCCTAGCATTTGGGATAATAGGCCTGTGACATATTTACTATGTATATGTTTAGGAAGTAAATAGACAGCACACTTCTTCATGGAGAGAAAAGTTGGAATCTGACCTTTTAAAAATGGCCACAAATAATAATCAAGGCCAGTTTGACAGTGGCTTATATCACTTAGCTTTCTTTAGGGTTTGAGTCATGTTGAACCTGTTTTCTCTCTCTCTCTCTCTCTCTCTCTCTCTCTCTCTCTCTCTCTCTCTCTCTCTCTCTCTCTCTCTCTCTCTCTCTCTCTCTCTCTCTCTCTCTCTGAAGCTTTTCTCAAGAAAGAAAAAAGGGAGGAAGGAAGGAACTCTCCTAGATTGCAGGGGCAGCGCCGCCTGTGGCGCCTCTCTGTCCCTACTTTTTGCCTTATAACCAAGGCATGTAGCTTTCCCACAGATCAGTTCTCAACCTCACCATTAGAGACAGGAAGGCAGCAAGCAGATCTCCTGCTGCCTCAGAGACCTGTTCTTTGTTTACACATTTGTAGGGCATAGCATCTCTCAGCCTTGGAAAAATTTTAACCCTTTAGCTCTTAAAATCCATTCCCCTATCTCCAAGCACGTGAATGCCTAAACAATTCCAGAAAAAAAGTATGAATAATATTCAAGTGAGAAGATTCCTTCCCCTGCTTTTGTCAATTGTACCACCTCCAGAAGTCCGGAAGCCATTCATTTTGCCTAAGTAAACCCCTCAAATGAGACAGAAGTCTCTGTTCCTCTTTGGAACCAACCCAGCCAGACATAACTGCATGTGAGTCTAGGGCCTTTTGCTCCTACGTCATGCTCTGCTAAAGGGACTCTACTCCACTCTCTCTTCATTCCTCTGTCCTCCATGGGGAGAAGCCTGAGCTGAAAAACAAACACCTCTGTCACTGTGCCTCAGTCTGCATCATCTGCAGGCCTCTACTGGAGTCCTCTCCCTCCCTCTCTCTCTCTCTCCCTCCCTCTCTCTCTCTCTCTCTCTGTCTCTGTCTCTCTCTCTGCCTCTCTCTCTCTCTCTGTCTCTCTCTGCCTCTCTCTCTCTCTCTCTCTCTCTCTCTCTCTCTCTCTCTCTCTCTCTCTCTCTCTCTGTCTTCCCTCAGGCAATGTGGCTTTTGCCCAGACTTGCATTTTCCCTGGCAATATATCTGAGCCCTCATGCCTCTCTCCTCTCCTCTGCAGGAGGCCCCTCTGAGGACAAGCTCCTGGCTGGTGACCAGATTGTGGCTATTAATGAGGAGGACGTGAGTGAAGCCCCCAGGGAGAGGTTCATAGAACTCATCAGGTAACAGGGGCCTCTGGGGGCCTTGACAGGAGCCGAGCAGTGTCCCCACCCCTGTCCCCACAGTGGCAAAGGCCCTAGAGAGAAACCAGTAAGGGTCACCGTAGGCCTCACATACTCTGCCAGTAACGTGAGTAAACAACAACAAAAAGTCTTCCTACTCCAGCCTCTCCTCTATCCTCCCCAACTTGTTTCTGCATCCAAGCCCCTTGGAGGTTTCGAGTTACTGTGCAGCTGGACAGGTCAAGTGAGTGACGAGAATCCAATATGCCATTAAAAGGACACTCTGAGATAAGCAAAGTCCAAGCAGACACACACATACCCACTCTTTGTCCCCACACCACATGCTCACACCTTTGCATAGTTGTCTTAAGAAGAAACGACAGGATAGAAGTGAAGTCTAAATGGAATGAACTAGCCTCCGGTTGGGGGACTCTGTCTCTCTGCTCTCTCTCTCTCTCTCTCTCTCTCTCTCTCTCTCTCTCTCTCTCTCTCTCTCTCTCTTGCTGGCTCGCTGGCTCACTCTGCTTCGTCTAATCTGCCTTCGTCTGTGCTCTTGTCCCCTTCTACTTACGTGTTTCAAAGTCTTTTCCTTCTATTCATCTTTCTGGGACTCCCCAAAGCCCGCCTTTTCCCAGAAACACTCGGTGACTTTTAGAGGCAGACTTGGCATTTTGTGTGTGGTATAGCACTCTCCTATCTGCTGGAGAGGGTTAGGGACACTCTGGCCGAAAGTCCAGAGTAGATCTCTGCCGTACTCCCCGCTGCAGCTCCACGCCTCCTAATGTCTCTGATCTCTGTTTGTCTCTTCTTCAAGTCGATTGTCCGTTGCATTGCCCTACACTTCACACTGTGCCCTTCACCCTCCGCAAGCACACCAGGGTTGGGAGAGCTCCCTTTTTCCCCATCAGTACCTGCTGGGGTTCTTTCGGCTTTGCCCCTCAGAAGTCCTCCTTTGCTTCTAGTGGCTGTCTTTTGTACCCTAGAACAAAGTGGTCAAATTTTGTGAGGGATTCTGGAGCTCCTTTGGTGTCACAACAAACCTTACTCTTTTGATAACTCATGTTCTAATGGCTCATTCATCCATCCATCCATTCATTCACTCAATATGGATTATTGTCTCCTATGCACCAGATGCTACTTTAGACATCAAAGACACAGCCATGAATAACACACTAAACTTCTTGGCTTACTAGCATTTGCAATACTAGTAAAAAGGAACACTACAAACAGTGAACAGGGTGAGTAATGATAAAGAAGAGCTAATGTAAAGACCCTGAAGACAGCACTGTCTGCCCTTTGTGAAGGAGGAACACGGGAGATGCCCCAAGAGTCTGGTAAGACAATGGAGGGAACATTGTTAAAGATAAATCCAGATTGTGGAGAACCCTATAAGTCATTGTAAAAACTAGCTTTCTTCATAATGGAATGAGGAAAACTGGCAAGGACTGGAGTGGGTGACTATATGTCCCTTCCCTACTAAACTTAAACAGCTGAGGAGTCTCCCTACAATACAATTCTTTGCTCTGATAAATCCCCAGATCTTGGAGCTGATTGGTCAATGGACTTCAACAAATGTGGGAAATGTTCCTTAATAGTCCCTAGGCAGGAGTCTTAGACAAAAATGAATCGCTGAAATCAAGGTAGCTTTGATATTGTTGCTGCTGCTGCAACTGCTGCTGCTGGAGATGATAGTGGTAGTATTTGAGACAGAGTCTTGGTATATAGTCCAGGCTGGTCTCAAACTCATTATCTTCCTGCCTCAGCCACCTAGGTGCTAGAATTATAGGTCTGTGGTGTGAGACCCGGCACGACTCTCCTTGAATGCCTTGGTCCCTATAAATATCTGAAAAAGACCAACAAGGAGAGGGAAAACTCCTTCAGGGAAAACTATTCCCATTTCACTCGGTTATTTTAAAAGATCATGTATTCCTGCTAGAGAATTTTCTTAGCCCATACCTCTTTGATCATTGGCACAACTCTTGTTGGAACAGTTTTGAATTCTTCATCCTTTTGAATATTTGCTATCTGGAGTGTCTGGGCTTCCATCTGTTGCTCCTTAGCTCTCATTTTTTGGTCCCTCAATTAAAACAAATCTGCTGAGTATGAGTCACAATGACCAAATAACCTCCTTTGGGTTTTTCCTTTGAGTTTTGCTTCTTGCTTAAATACCAAATTGCCAATAATCAGCGTACATGGTTCCCAGGACTCTGGCTGTGTGCCCTTTAACTTCTATAATTCAGGCCTGCAGTTTTCCTTGAGAATGTTCTAGTCAACAGATAAAATCGTACCTAAGGTTTAGTGGTTTCTGCAGAGAATGCGAGAAGGACTGTGAAAAGAAAACCTGAAAAATGACAAGCCCAGAGGTAATGCTAATACCATTGCTGAGCACCCGTGTGAACCAATATGGATGGTTTTGTGTCAACTTCCACAAATGATGGGAGGCGAGGCAACCATGCAGATCCTCAGATTACCCTCTGTCCTAATCCATATACTGGAATGCAACCCAGGGGAACATTCTGGTGTTGCTTCTTGTACTAGATGAATACCTAGTGCATGATATACTGCTCTCCTGTTCCCTCTTTTCTCTGTAGGAGTGCTAAGGAATCCATCGTTCTTACAGTTCTGCACACTCATCAGGTGAGTGAGCCTCTGTGCCATCTGCCCTTCATTCTGCCTCCTGCCTAAGAAGAGATGACTCCACCTTGAAAAGTGGCAGCCTAGGATAGAAAAGGGATCAGAGACCCAGGAAGAGGGATAATAAAGTAGAGCAGACCTGAGAGGCACAGATTTAGGAGCGAACTTAAAGATGATCTCTACCGCCCTATCCAGGGCTAAAGATTTTGAAGAGCCATGCAGTGCTGTTATATGCCCTAGCTTTACCAAGTTAAATTGCCCCCCACACCTCAGCTTAGAGTCTTTCTTCCACCATGTGTTTGCTATGCTTCATCTGAAGCATAGTGACAATCTCCCATGAAGTTCTGCCAGGTAGCAGGCAGTGGGTGCTACTTTTATTTATCCAATAAAGACTAAATGACCTGTGATGTGTGAGACCTAGTGCTATGTTTGAAGTATTTTAGATAAAATTGCTGGAATGGCTGGGGATGATAACTCAATGATAAAGTACTTGTCTAACATGCTCAGTGCCATGGGCTTGACTCCTGGCACCATACAAACAATTACTTAATTGAAAAATGAAGTTATACCAGGTGGGCTGCCTCACACCTTTAACCCCAGCACTTGAAAGGCAGAAGGTGGATCTCTGTGATTTCTAAGGCATCCTAGTCTACATAGCAAGTTCCAGGCCAGCCAGAGTTACATAGTGAGACACAGTTGGAGCAGAGCTTCATTTTGCTCCTAATACATTCAGTGTATGTGTGACCTTGGGTGAGTCCCCTTTTCTAATCTGTTCCTTGGTCTGTAAATTGATGTTTGGAGCTGGACAATGTTGCCAAACATGCATTATCCTAACAATCAGCACAAAGGTTATTAGGAGGGGAAATCTCCAATCTCCCTTTCCTAGACGTTGGATTCTGTCAGTTTCCATTACTAGCATATATCCTTACAGGAACCTAACTTAAATCACAAACCCAGATGCAAAACTTCCATGTGTAAAACTTGAAACCCCCCACTCCACCTCCAGCCCATCTGTCCTTTTCTAATGTCATGAAACTTCCTTGTACCCCAGCACTGATGGCCCACTGCATTGAAGGAGACTAAACCAAAGGTGGGCCTTGAGAAAGGACAGGGTGTCAAAGGCACCAGGCACAGACAGGGAAAGTGTTTGCAATGAGAGACATCTGAGCACGTAAAGCCAGAAGCGGAGCATTGGCACAAGCCTAGGCTCACAAAATAAACCAGCAATCAGCTACTTGGCCCCATGGTGGCCAGCTCTTTTCAGTCTTACACACACATGTGAACACACACACACTCACATGCATATGCACACATGCTCAGTATATACACATTGCACTCACACACTACAACATGCACAATGCGCCAGACAAACAGGCATTCTGTGGGTGCTGTGAACTGCCCTTTCCCACCTTATTGCTTAATGTGCCGTTGCCTGGAGAGCCATGGACAGTCAATCTCTACCTGTCCTATACTGAAGACAGCACTAGTTCTGCCCTCAGTGCATGCACTTTGTAAGGCTGGGATTTAGACTGCTGAGCCAGGCATGGTAGTCCACACCTGTAATTCGAGCGCTCAGAAGGCAGAGACAGGAAGATCAGTTGAAAGGCAGTCTCGGCTACATAGTGTGTTCAAGGCCAACCTGGGTTACGTGAGACCCTGTGTCCACTCTCCCTGCTCCCATCAGTAAAAAGAATTTGCTACTCTGATCAGAGGCAAATATTGGGTTACTCTGTTAATCTGGTCTTTTCAAATATCACCTTTCTCCAGAGACTTTTTCTTGACTACCATTACTAAGACAGCATCTACCCATCATTATCTCTGGCTTCTGCTTATTTTTTCTTCAAAGCTCAAACACTATTTTTTGCGTTGACTTTCCTTTTATTCATCTCTAATATATTACATCCTAACCACAGCTTCTTCTCCACTCCTCCAAGTTCCCCAACACACACACACACACACACACACACACACACACACACACACACACGTCCCCCCTCCCCCAGATCCACTCCTCCTTCCTTTCCCTTCAGAAAAGAGCAGACCTCCCGGGGACATCCACATAATAAGTAACAATAACCCTAGGCACAAATGGCTGGAGGGGGCAACCCAGTAAGAGGAAAAGTGTCCTATCAATAAGCAAAAGAATCAGCGACAGCCCCTACTCCCACTGTTAGGAGTCCCACAAAACACCAAGCTAAGCAGCCATAACATATATGAGCAGAACCTAGGTCAGACCCCCTACAGGCTCCCTGATCCCTGTGAGCTCCCATGAGGCCCTGCCAATTGATTCTGAAGGCCGTGTTCTTGTGGTGTCCCTAACCCCTCTGGTTCTTCTGAACCTTCCTCCCTCTCCTCTGAAGGACTTCCTGAGCTCTGCCTAATGTTTGGCTGTGGGTCTCTGCATTTGCTCCCATCAGTTGCTGGATGAAGCCTCTCTGATGACGATTATGCTAGACTCACTGCAGTCTACAAGTATAGCAGAGTATCATTAGGAACCCTTTCATTTACTTTTTTTTTCTTCTGCTGGTTGCAAACATTGTTTTGTTTGTTTGTTTGTTTTATTTTTGTTTTTGTTTTTTTGGGTTTTTTGTTGCTTTTTTGAGATAGGGTTTCTCTGTGTATCCCTGACTGTTCTGGAACTCACTCTGTAGGCCAGGCTAGCCTCAAACTAACAGAGATCCTCTTGCCTCTGCCTCCCAAATGTTGGGACTAAAGCTGTGTGCCACCACTGCCTGATGAAAATACTATATTCTACGTTATTTTCTTTTGAGCTAGTTGTAGTCACAGAGAATTGCAAAATTAGTAGAAAGTCATCATGTTCATTATATAGCCTGTTATTACTAATGATTACATCTTCTATAACTATAGAATATTATATCAGAATTAGGAAATCAGAGAAATGGCTCCTTCCTGTAATCCCAGCCCTTCCAAAGTTGAGGCAAGAAAATTTGAGTGACAGGAATTAGTCATAGTTCTCTAGAGGAACAGAATTTACAGAACAAAACTTCAGTTCAGTCGACAAGGATGGGTGTCTCAGCTGGTCTTCACTATATTCCGGAGTCTCAAAGTAGGCTCCAACACCAGTGAAGGAATGGACTTGCTAGCAAGACACAAGCCAGGAGGCAAAGAGCAAGCTTCCTTCTTCAGAGTCCTTTATATAGGCTGCCAGCAGAAGGTGTGGCCCACATTAAAGTAGATCTTCCCACCTCAAAAGATCTAGATTAAAGCTGTACCTTGGCATCTGAAAAGATCTGGATTAAAAGTAGCTTTTCCCACTAGAAATGATTTAATTAAGAAAAAAAAAATCCCTTACAGGTATAATCAGCTGCATGGGTTTTAGTTCATTTCAGATACAATCAACTTAACTGCCAGTAATAGCCATCACCCATAAACTACATATGAAAATCCTGCTTCAAAAAGAATAAACATACATAACTTTTTTCAGGATTATAGCACTGATCCTATACATATACACAGTTTCACATGAATTTATCAATGATATACATCCACCAATATAATCAAAGCATTGTAAAAATCTACCATAAAAAAGATCACATATGGTGCCCTTATATAGACACACCCTCTCCTCCCACTCCATCTGAAATCCCTGTTAACCACTAATCTGTTCTCCATTTCTGTATTATTTCAACAATACTATAAAAATGGAACAATATGGTATAATATCACATGGAACCATTGGGACTTAACTCTGTTTCATTCAGCATATTGCCCCTGAGATTCATTCAAAATGTGTGTGGCAATATTTTCTTGCCTTTATTGTAGAATAGTATCCCATGGTGTGAATGCACCAGTTTAGTTAATCATCTACCATTGAAGGGCCTCTGGGTTGCATCTAATTTGGGGCTATTATGAATAAAGCTGCTATAAACATTTGTGTTTCTTGTGAGCCATAAGAACTCATTCCTCTGGGATAAATCCTCAGGAGTGTGATTGCTGGGTCATATAGTAAGTATGTGTTTAGTTTAAATAACTGCCGGATGGTTTTCCAGAGTGGCTTTATCATCTCACCTTCCCTTGAAACATTATGGTAATATTTTTGTTTTCTGTGTCCCTTATTAGAATGTCACCTTGAAAGGGTGGAGACTATGTTTTCTTGAAGCTATATCCCAGACACCTGGAATAGCATCTGGCACGGAAGAGATATTAATAAATACTGGTTGGAGGAAGGAAGCCCAGGTTCCAGCCATCTAAACAACCTAAACTCAAATTACCAGACTGATATGCAGAATGAGAATCTAACATTTTCCCCACATCCATCCTAACCATCCTTCCTCCCATTCCACCCACATCTGATGCCACAGCTTCTCCATCTCATGGCCCCTTTGTAATCACCAGACTGCTTTTCTTCTTCTCCTCATGTATTTCTTAGTTCTTATTGACCTTCTGGTTATTTTATTTGTATTACTTGATGTCTCTTCTAATAGCATTCATTTCCTTTAAAACCTGGCTGATTATGCCTATCTTTCAAACAGAATTGCCTGACTAACCATGATGAGGGCTTCTAACTCATTCAACTCATTCATGGACATTTATCAAGTGCTTGCTATTTTGGCCACTTATATAGGCTGGAAATATAGCTGTTTGTAAAACAGGCATGACTCCTTCCCTTGGGTAGCTCACATTCTAGGTCTTGGCTCTGTTCCCTCCAAATCCTGGGAGCACAGAAGTGGGTAGCCACATACACAGGTGGTGTAGTAGTCAAACTCTTTAGGAACCAATCAATCTTGGAAGCCTCCTAGTTGAGCCAGATGTTAACCTTTTATCTGATTTACATTTGTAAAATTTTCTCAGGGGAGAGGGCAAGTGGTGCCCAGGAAACTTAGGGGAGCAACTACTTACCAACCAGTGTGAACGAATACCTAAATATTCAACAACCAGCATGACCAAATTAGTACATCCCAACTGAATGACAGCCTTGCACACATACATGTCTATTCCATCCTTCTTAAAGACTTTGTGTACACAAGTTGCCTACTTCCTGG